GCATAGAAAAAAGCCAATGGCATTTCGGTTCTGGGCCTCTAGCCAAACGCCACTTTAGCGCTTGTCTACAGTGAGAGTAGATATCAAAATGTATGGGGATGACACTGACAAGTGTCAAAATTTACGTCAATTCCATATAATTTGGTTTTCTACTCTACATGTAGACAAGCGCTAAATGGCATTTGGCTAGCACTGCTGATTGTGAACACAATCTAGCCTAAAACGTAATTTTTAGATATTTTACGAGAATTTCTATGTAAAGTACAACTTAGCTAATATATTCATTGACTTCTTCGGACCATAAGATCAGTTATGAAATTACTAGTAAGAGTATTTGAGTACCACCGGATTTATTTGCTCAGTACCCAAATTTCATCCACCTAAGGGTGATTTATGTTCTTTATAAATCTCCCTTTGTGCCCTCTTGTGACTGCTTGCCGGTGTAACGCTAACAGGTGCAGTGGGAATATTAACATGGTTGCTAAAAATGAATGGTTTGAAGTTGTGTCAAGGAATTTGGTTTGAAAGAATTATACCTACTTAATATTTAATGCCTAGATTATCAGTAATAGGTATAAAAAATATTTTATACTTTGTAAAGTTAAATTTTAATTAGCAATCAATCTCAAAAGATCAATCTCAAATGTTTTTGATATTTTGAAGTAATTAATAACAGAAGCACACAATATCAACCCTTTGACCAAGTATTCATCGCCCACAATACAGCTACAGGACCAAACAATACCCACTATTGATGGGCTTAATTAAAAAATAACAAATCCTCTTTATCAAGCATCGATGACAAACTGCCGTACATGTCATTTGCAGCGTATGGCTCATTTGTAATAGCTGGGAACATGGTCCTAACAATGGGTCCTCGCGTAGTGCCCAGTGACGTCAATGCACACGATGTTGTTGTCCAAGTGAATTGTTGTGCCGGCGACTCCTGTGCGGGCATTCGCGATAAATCGTGGAGAAACAATAGCACAGTAGGTGCCTAACGTCGAAGCATCGGACATGCATAAATCACTCGATTTAGTAACGTAGACCATGTTGTATGGACAAGCCTCACAACAGTAATAAAAGCGGTATTGTAATACCTAGTTCCTCTAAAATAAATCTGTCTTTGTTAGCTATTGTATTTACTGTGGGATTAAATCAATACCCTGTTTTCCAGATTTCGATTTTTTGTGTATGATTCTTCAGTTTCCATGCTACCTACTTCATAACTATTATTTAGTTAGGTTCTCTAGGCATGTATCTGTAAATTAATGGACACCAATACATGTACCAGTAAAGCATAAACTTGTAGTAACTCTAAACCAAATCAAACATCTACCATAATTAATATAACACCCACTCTTCAAATGTACACAAATACGGATCTTCAACACCAACTCAAATGAAAGCAACAATATGGATACTACCTACAGGTACAAATACAAAGACCAACTATTGTAATGGCTCCGTGTGATACGAGTTAACAACATCAGATGCAAGCTTTCCTCGCAGTTATCTAGTTCGACAGGTTACAGACTGCTAACGTAAACTAACTACCACTGGTACTGCACGTTACAGATAGCCCGAACATTGAACATACTGCAAACAGCCGAACTTTGTTCGTTGTTCAATGTTATTGTGAATTAAATGTTAATGAAACTAGCTGTGTTGTCGAGTAAACAATGTACTTCCTATGTTCACATGTTCTCCTGGTACTGTCCACGCTACGCTAGTTGATTAAAAGTACAAGGGTGACTTTGAGGGTTGATGTGATCGGACAATTGATTAAAATTCGTTTCCATTTGCCAGTTTTTCTAGACCTTGTTTTGTTTTATGTTACTTAATATTGTTTTAAACCGCTTAGATACTATATTTGCTACGTAGGATGAGTAATGAGTATATGTTTTTTAAATTATATAGTCATTTGTTTCTCGGTAATAGTAACTATTCAAGTTTTTCAAATAAATCCTTAATCCATTCCTACATATTATAATCTAAAAACACGAAAGTAGTTATTAAAATATTATTTGCAGCTGCGTCTACGCTTACTTTAATTAAGAAAAAACAAACGTCCGGACTTCCAGCCATTAACTTCTTAACAGAGATGTCGGGATTGAAAGCAATGGAACAATTCAAAATTAATTATATGAAATGTTCAACAATGCTTCTAACACAATTTTAATTCAATGTTCACAAGTAATTTGAAATCTCATTACGCAGATGAATATTAATTATAAAAATACCGTGGTCCGTAGTACTTGAGTTCCAAGTCACTATTACGAGTCAAGGAAAATTTCAAATTGTCGACAAAGTGTCGACAACTGTCGTCGAATTTCACGATAATTCCCATCCCCTTTGATCGTGCCTTTCAATTATGAAAATATTCCTTTAATATAGCTGTTCCGTCCAAAGAATATTCTTGCGACGATAATGTTTGTACTTAATTAGAAAATCAGATTTATTTCTCAAAGAAAGGGTTTATTGGCACAAGTCGACAAAGAGCGGCCGTAATTAAGATTTAGTTGTTACGGAGATTTATTAATTTGTTTAGTCCCTAACTGGATACTAAGTGTTAAAAAAGAAAATTTGGCGCATTTCCCTGTTATCTGATGACAGATTAAATTTTGGGTGACAATGATAACCTCATACCTTTGTTTAACATGTTTACATGTTCCTTTCTTCGCTAGCTATTTCATGAGTTCTATACAAATGGTTTTCTTTATTTAGAGCAGTGTTTGAGTCATCCGACAGTCCCTTTTGTCGGGAATATCTTAAATAATATCCACCTTGGGGTCAAAAAGTGTGTGAGTCATAATTATTAGGTTTTTTTTAAGGGAGGAAAATCATCGAATGACTGCTCCCGCCTGGGTGAGGCGGGAGGGAGTGTCATACTCTTACTGACTAAAAACCACCCCGTTCCTTCTCCTGCACGTTGAACCGGAGCCCCAGTAACCCGTTAGGTTCTACGCGACATAATTATTAGGTTTACCACTATTAATATCCCTGACTTACTTACAACGTCGGCTCAGTGACCCAAAGTTGTTTTTGGCTTCCGATACAAAATAGACATTTCTCTTGATTCGTGCCTGTATCTCCCTAATTACCACCTCTTAAATAAACACCCTTAATAATTCTATAATACTTGTCAATGAAAGTGTCCACTAACTTGTAAGCTGCTTAAAAATGTACTAAAACAAGAGAGACAGAAGATCCATCACACATTATGGCACAATGATAAAGAGATTCACATTTAAAGATACTCGACGAAGATATTTAATAAACAACAAACTGCCATAAAGACATAAAACCTTGTATCAAATATCCGTACTATTCATATTCCAGTTTTTATGGAGGACGGACGTATCTGTGTTTCCAGTTTTATGTGATCTTTATGAGACTACGGGCACGCTGACCCGAGATTTTCTTTTATATTTTACATGTTTATAATTTCGTTTTGTTTCGTCGGTCTAAGGTTCAGTAAGTCTGTTGTATTTGCGACAATATTGCAGTTGGTATTTTATATTTTATGGAGCTAAGATCATGTAGGAAGATTTTCGAATCTTTTCCCCCTGGTAATTTTGCGAGTGGGTAAGTTTGACGTTTATGTTTACGATGACCTCATCAGTCTGTTGTCTGAATATCGAATATGTAATAGATACGAACGACTGTCATGTTGCACTCTGCCTCATAGAAGATTTTCAGGTACCCATTCATTACCGCAGTAAACTTAACTTAATATTAAAGTGGTTGGCACGGCTGCAACTTTAGCCACAAGCTCAACAAAGGGTAATAAAAATGTCGAAATTAAACACAAGTCTTCAATCATGTAACCTTTTAATTTATAAACAACCAACAGAAGCATACATTCAAACATCACAATTCGCTATACAACACATTTTTACATAAATTTTTAGGTACGTCTTTGGCAAGTCGACTTCTTGTAACCCCCGGTATATGTAACAGTCACACCCCATTATACACACTAATTTACACTAAAACCACGATTAAAATAAATATAGGTCTCACCTTAACTATTCCGTCATATTATCTTAACTATCGGATCCAAATTAACTAATAGACTAATTAATCAAAGTAAAAGCTATGTAGGATTTCATATTTTCTCCACAGATATAGTACGTAGTTACATTACAAGCTAAATGAAGATGATAACCAACCAGTGAAGGTATGAAACATGAGATCAGCTACGAGAAATATGTTAGCGAGAAACTTATCAGTTAGTAACAAATAGAAAAGCAAGTATTGCATTGATTTATATATAGCCTCAAATAAAAACTTAACAAATAGTGTCAGACAACGTCTGTGCTTATCACACGGGCTTATTTATGATATGTCTCTTCTTGAGCCTTCAGCTATGGTAACAGAATTCACAACTTGTGCAGTAAGGTAGTGGATGATGATACAACTAAACTTAGCATAAACTGCATTTCACTAATATTATGTACAGTAACATTGCACACCCTTCTAAATAAGTCTCGTCTGAGCCCAGAAATACTCATTAACATTATCCAAAATATACAGAAAGAACAAATAAAATTATTATATCTAGTACACTAACTCTTCAATACTGTTCAATTTTAGACAACGAAACCGATAACCGCTGATGTTAGTAAAATCAATTTACAATTCCCCTATATATTTGGCATACAATGGCTCATCAAAATTCAGTGGAATGGTTCTAAAATATATTCTGTTTATCTCAAAAAATCATTTGGACAATCTTTGGCACTAAAATCTTACGTCTAATAAAAGTCTTGTAGACAGAACCAAAGACAAAGGTGATAACGATACGTTTTGCATTGATTACAACTTTTCTTATATCTAAGTTTGTCTTAAGTCACGGATTATGAGAGAGTTCGACTAGCTAGTCATTTTCACAGATTGCACCATCCCTTTAATTGTCCGTACAATCATATATCACATACACTTCAACTCATTAGACCGTTTCTATGAGTCCCGTAGCATATTATAGGTGTGACCGGTCATACAAAATCGTTCACCTCGTTTTGTAGGGGCGACTCGGCCTTGTTGACGCAATTTCTTATAGCGTCAAGTATGATGAGCACGCGTCGGTCTAGGGCGACGAGATGTGGCTCCCACAGTATGGGGTTTACTGGATCTAGCTTTAATGATTCACGGAGAACTTTTGATAGAGGAACACCGTTGTGGAACCTGCACCAAAGAAATTAGGATTAATGAAGGATATAAAAACTGAAAATACTCTAAGTAAGAAAAAATAATATGATTATTTGTTAGGTCGTTGTTAATCAATGACTAAACTTACTTCAGCAACAAGGAGAGGGTAGTATGCCTCACAAGGCAGCACTGCAGCAGCGGCGCCAAGATGCTCAGTTCATCATGGAACGCCTTGCCGAACGCACGCCCTTGGTCCAGATGCAATGTGAACGTCTCATTCCCGAACATTCTGCATTAATATAAAAGTCATTAAAACGCAAGCTTTATTTGGGCGTACCCTTGTAAAACTTGAAATTCTGCATTACAAAGATAATGCATATTTTAACTATAAATAAATAGTCGTTTTACTTCCAGTGTGAACGGAAATTAATTGCGCATGGTGATTTAAGGAAACGGCCTTCTTTTCAATTTTGCGCTTGTGTAAGTTAAACACGTATATGTTATGTGCGAAGTCAGTTTCAGACTGTAATACAAAACATATCCTTGGACACAACAAAATATATTCCACCATTCTTTTCAATTAAGCATAAAATGTTTTAGAGGATTATTTTATTAGTAAAAATATGTGTATGAAAGTTTTTAATATGGGTGATGTCCATGAAAATAATAAAACAATTACAACTATTAAAGCATTCAAATAAACACAACATATAACCCATAATCTGCAACTGACCTCTCTTCAGTCGAATGAGACTTGAGAGTAAAGGAACAGAGGTTGTACTTGTATTTGCACACTTCTATGAGCTATAGTACCTCTTTCGTAGTGGTTAAATTGAATAACCAATCGTAACAAAAAATCTTTCGATTTTTTTTTAAGGGGGAAAATCATTGAATTACTGCTCCCGTCTGGGTGAGGCGGGAGCGAGTGTCAGACTCTTACTGACTAAAAACCACCCCGTTCCTTCTCCTGCACGTCGAGCCGGAGCCCCGTTAACCCGTTAGGTTCTCCGCAACAATATATTTCGATTAAGATCAACTTTTGACATTAGTTGTATGATGCTTCAATTAACAAGTTAAAGTTATGTTAATTCACAGATTTAAGGATAAAATCGATACAATTACAATCGGGAATGACCGTCATAACCAAAAGAATGAATATAATGCAACTGTTACAATATACTAACTTAAAAGTCTCGTAGTGATGTCTGTCCATGTTCCCGGAGAGGAAGTCATAGATGGACATGTCCATGAGGTCGAGCATCCGACGACCTGAGTCATAAGGAGGAGTGGTGCGGACCTAGAATTAAGATGTAGCATTAAAATGATACCTTTCTTTTCTACCATATATGAAAGAATAGAGAAAGGTGCTTTTGTAGCACATAGTACATGTAAAACCAGAATCAATAGATTTTTGACTCTATTACAAAATTACAAAGTTAAAAATTTATTTACAAGAGTATAGAAATAAAACGTACTGTGTCACAATAGTCAGATTGTAGTTCCCACGGAGCTTTTCTTCGCTTGTGGTAGGATCTTCTCCACGGGTGTCGCCAAACCTGAAAATAATAGAAAACTTATTGCTAAGAAATCACACATAGGTAATGTGTGTAAACATGTAATTATATATTATTAATGTTCAGTCACAGTTTTTAAGTGTGGGAGAGCCATGCTTCGGTACGATTGGGCCGGCTCGACCGGAGTGATCCACGGCCTCACAGTAAACCGACGTGAAACAACGCTTGCGTTGTGTTTCGTCGTGTGAGTGAGGTTACCGGTGGCCCAATTACACTCCCCTTCCCCAATCTCCCTAATTCCTTAATCCCCAACAATCCTCAAACTCCTAATCCCCAAAAGGCCGGTAACGCACTTGTAACGCCACTGGTGTACCAGGTGTCAATGGGCGACGCCGATTGCTTACCATCAAGTGATCCGTCTGCTCGTTTACCGGCTTATGTCATAAAAAAAGCTTCATCATAAGGATGAAATTCTGCAGGTATGGAAATGATTTCAGGATATTGTTTGGTTCTTCTTAACAATATTCAAAATAATCATAATAATTTCAGCTCTCTTAGAAACGGCACGTATCGTCAGGAGATTTTTGTTTCTGGAGCCCTAACCACCGGTAGTTTAGTTTGGACCACGCTTCCGCTACTAGTCGGCTTCTATTTCAAAATTTTTAAATATTATTTTTACTGTTTCTTTAACTAGGTAGTATTTAACTCGTCGAGTACCATATTTATAGACACAATTAAAGAACAATAAGTTGCGGGTGGCGGTCACCGGTGATCGCTTGGTGTTTGACAGTTTAAAAATGAAATTTTAGAGAATTTTAATTGAATGTAGGAAATTCATTTTAATATAAGAATAAAACAATTCCATAAAAATCTATGAAATACAAATCTTTGTCTGCTTCAACATCTGAAAATCTCAATGGGATTTGCATTGAACAGAACAGCAACCTACAACTTCACAGATTTCAACATAAGAAACCAAGCAAGGACCGCACAAGTTGTAATGCCTTTAAGCTAATCACGCGAAAACAAATATCAAGGTTAAATGTCCGTCAAATTATCAACATTCCCAGTGCATTAGCTTATCTTAATTATTATTAAATTCCTCCTAAAGGTTTCCACTAACATACAGAGATTAGACCAAAACGACACGAAACTATTATTTTAAATTATAATTATTTGATCATAAACCCTTCCTTTATGAGCGAATCCCCGCCATATCGCCCTAAATTGTACACGTTACAAGGCTTACTTTGTACCGAAAATAGTAAAAGAACCATAATAATTTGTTACCTTTTTTTGTAACGTTTTGGACTTATATTGCTATCTACATAACATATTATTATACCTGCTTTAATATTTATATCACTTTATTTAGCACGCAAATACTGATGAAAGGACATTACCATATTTTTTTATCCGTATGGATAGGCAGAGCTAAGAAATTGTAACCTATGTATCTAAATTATTATAGTAGGTAAAAAGAATCCTACTAGCGTATACTACTTACACACAATTCAAAACGTCAAACAACATCAACATTATCATCACTTGTTACGATTAACATATTATACAAATAGATAGAATTTCAAATATTAGATATTGAATTCAGTGGCGAATGTTTTAAGAGAAACCTGTGCGTCAAAAGTTTATGTTAAATTCTACAATGCGTAGTTCGAAACACAGATCGCGTATAATGTGCACAAGTAACAAGGAACTACGCATCATGATGTATTACGCCGCCGTCGCGACAACATTGCCTATACATATGATAATTCGTTACACTCAACCACGTCGAATTTGATAGTCTACCTAATTATATACCTGTTTATTTCACAACAAATTAATAGCAATCGTAAAAACTTATATTTACAAATTGCATTGCAACGAGAATCTTATTAAAATTCTTGTATACTGCTGTTTAAATACTAACCTTTCGTTCTGCGATATCGGATGAGGGAAGGAACGCTGCAAAACTGCCCTCGAGCATGTCAGGGTTGCCACAGATTGCGTGGCCAGTGTCACAATAGTAGGAACATTTGCCGTGGAAGCAGAAGTTGTTTGCCGGTGAAACGAAGAAGGTCTTTAGAATGTCACCTTCAGTTACATCGTAGATCTCTGTCGTCATATTGAGGACTCGGCCCACGACCGGCATCGCGCGACGGAAACCGAGTATCCTGGATAACACATGATTTACATTAAACGTCACCTCTATTCGTGGTCGCAAATAGGGATGTTAGCTTCCGATGAACGTCTTCACTAGATCTTAGGTTAAACATGATGATTTACAACTAGTGACTGATTGATTAAGTACTAACTACCTAGGGCAAATGCCAAGCAAGATATGGGAAATCATAACTCTTAAGTTTTTGACTGTAAACATTCTTAGTAAAAGTAAAACTGCTCAAGCCAGTATTTTTTCTTATAGAGCTCATCCTTTTACATGTATTAATATAACTTTTAAAAGTGGGTGTTGCATTAATATACACGGCTCAGCTTATTTGTTCTAGAAACAAAGAAGGCGATGATATATTATGATTGAGGTAAATCAAGAAAATTATCCCACTACGCAAAGTTTTATTCTTGTAAGTGTTCGCAAACAATTGCGTAAATATAAAGCCCCACGCTTATGTTGAATTCCACACAAATGAGTTGTACGGATGAGGCAATCAAAGAGATACATCTTACAAAGTAGTTATATTACAGCCCTAATGAGTGGCGACTGGGTCTAACCTGTCCAGGTGAAACGCTGCTATCTCAGCATTGTGTCGCTCGTAGTCAGAAAAATAAAAATGATTCGGCAACGTCTGCACATCACGAGCAAATCTGTAAACAAAATATATGTTAACTTAAAAAAATCAAAGGAAGACGCTATTTGTATTGCAAAACAGGCGTTTATCTTTAATGCTATGCTCGCGAGATGTTATGGAGGACGGACTTAAGATTTAAATAGATAAAGCACGATGCTGGCCCGTCTCCCCGCTGTGGTGGCAATTGATAACTATCTACATTAATCAATTTGCAACTTAAGCTAGTTTCGAACACCCTATAACATGACAATGATAAAATATCGCAGGAATTATGATAAGACAACAATATACGCACAAAAAATGTGAAACAAAAACCTATAATTTTTAAAAACTTCCCATTAATTTCAAAAGTCAAGTTACTTAATTAAATAAAAGAAAATACATTTAAAATTGTAAAGTAAAATTTGAACATGAAATACCCAAAAATTCTTGGCAGGTACTTATTCATGACGTAAATTGAAACCGAGTAATATAAATCCATTAAAGAGAAATATCAAATATCGACTCCTGGAGATAAGGGACCCCTGTCCTTTAAAATAAATTTATAACGTCGAAAAATGTTAAATTACCTACTAAAATGGAAAAATTACTCATTCCAAGTAACAAATGGAGGTATAATTTCTTTTAGTGTCTAATGAGTCGAATGTGGGTGCTTAATCAATTTCTCGGAAACAAAACGATTAAAGTGGCTCTTAAATCGTGAATCTGGTTAGATAGGAGCAATCCCGGGAATATACTGCACCGAGTGCCTTCCGATTTATTGTCCTCAGTGCGACTCGTAAGTGAGATAGTACAATTTAAAAAGGCTACTAACAAATGCTTTAGATTCTCCATCCCCTTTACCTCTTGACATTAAATAGCTGCTACCAATTTTGAATACTTTTTATTACACCTACTGGATTTGGAATCCCGATACAATATATCACTAGTACAAAAATGGTAGTCAAGGTGATAAAACTAATAGATACCCGTGCAGGGAAGGGTTACCGCCGACTGTCACGTAATTTATGGCGCCCTTGTGAATCGTGAAAAATCCACGAGGACCTCTTGATATGTCGCCGGGGTAACCCCTTGAGTCTATAATTTTCTTAGAAAAGTTATCCAGTTCGCTAGAAAAGTTAACTGTCTGCCTATGTTCAAGTATTTCAAGGCGAGAATAATTTATATTGTTTTGTTTTAACGTGCCTTAAATGTGTTGGAGTATCAGATGTAAAACTATGTGCATACATAAGTTTCATGCAAACATACGCCTTGTTTCTTACACTTCCAATATTATTATTTCTTATTTTATATGGAATCCATATTTTAAAAATAAAAGCGAAGTGCTAAGACGTCTGATACTCGATATATAGGCCTGCCGGGAGTTTCGTGAAATTCCCGCGAGTACATTTTTGGGAATGCTCTTTGTATTCTTTGTCACGTCAAAAATTGTATCAGATAGCATTACAGAATATTGAATATACGATGCGGTACCTGTGTACTCGAAGTGTGCTCATGTAACGATGAATGTGAAATATCACTGTGCAGACTCTCCATAAGTTTGTTGGAACGAGTAGGTCTAAAAGCTTTCACAAAATATAACATAAGCAATGTATGAGGTATTGAACAGAAAACACAATCAACTTTAACAATACCGTACGCAAGTAAGAGAACTTGGCGAACTCAGTACTTCAATAGCACTTAGTGTTGAGAACAGTGTGGGCAAGCCGCTAAGCCGATCGCACGAAAGAACATTCTACGAGTTTTGTGAATAGAACGAACACCCAACAAGGTGACAGGAAAGTTGTGGCAACTCCTTCAGGAGCTTGCACGGACACTCCAAACTACTCTCAACCCAACTTGTTTACCAAACAAAATAAAACTTACGTATCTGTGAAAGACATGACAGATGATGGACGGACACTCCACGTAAAACTATAAATTATGGACGCTCGATGTTGAACTTACCTCATCGGCTTGAAGAGCGCTTGGACGCCATTAGGGTAGTCAATAATAAGTTTCAACTGCGTGCCTCCCTCTTTTTGCTCTGTGAAAAACAATTTCTAGTTAAACGTCACGTCAAATAAAGTAGTACAAACGCTAAGTAACTGCTCTCAAATTTTAAAATCAGCCTTCAAACTAACAATTTAGATGACATTAGAATGTCGCCTATCGTAGTTATTCAGTAGTAGTTCTGACTACTCTAAAAATAAATGTTGAGTAGTATATACGATAAAGTCGGATCAACAATGAAATCCATTTAAGTGGTTTAAATATTTAAGTCCAATTCGAAGTAAAGGGCGAGATTGTTGTGGCACTATTGTCCGACGGACCGCTAACCCCGCAACTGATTGCAGACCCGCCCTCATTTAATATACATACCTACCTACTTTAGATTTTATATATGCAGATATCATTTGAGTATTCTTCTCTAAATCTGAAAGAATTTTAGATCGCGACCAACTCTATTCTACACACAAGAGCCCAACATACACATATATTCTTTTTGTGGTTAATTATCAGTTAAAAAATGCTAAGTTATTTTAAAATAGTGCAATTTACAAACAAAAATCCATACATGTCCATACAAAAATCGTCTTTCATTCGTAAATAAAAGTTAACCGTAGCATGTAATACAGAAACGGTAGGCATCGACTGTCCAGTTGTAGAGTGAGGGTGGCGTAAAGGTTGTCTGTCTAAACGTAATTGCTTTTCTAAGTCCGATCAACGGTGCACTGAATATTTTATGTCGATACATACTTAAATTGAGATCAGGGCTTACTCAATAGTTGAATTGATTTCAGTTGTCGAGTGTTGAATAATGTAAATACAGCGAATAATAATAACGAACATAATTCCAAATACAAAATTGTCTGAGACCTCAAGTTAGTAAGCTTGACAACTGGTAGGTACCAGTACTACGATTTAGTTAGTAGGCAACCTCGGTTTACTTTTAATTATTTAACTTTAGAATTATAGAATGTACGCGGTAGTCAAACTTACCTACATGTAGGATGCTGTTAGTGGCCATATCTTTGAGAATCTCGTCCACTAGTGGTTCCCCATCCTCATACAATTCGTGTTGAGCTATCTTCAGTTGGAACCTTTCCAAATTAGAAGCGTTTATGCTGCAATAGAAATTGATTGGTATTATTATACGACATTAATTCCTATTGATTATCTATTATGCGGTATTCAGCCTTTTGTGCGGGTTTAAATTAGAGGGCTAACTACTGATTCCTATGACATCAATATTATAGTGGTAAATGTTCGCCATATGCCTGGTTGTTATAGATACTAATTTTTATTTATATCATCAATGACACGTAGATATTATTATGTGCGACTGCCTCAAAATGTATGTAGGCTCAGCGGAAGAGACCAAACCGATGCGTACTATGTCATCGATGAAGTTACTTGAAATTTTTCGCACACGCCCGTAAACCTGGTCGTTAACGTCAAGATTTACATGGAAGATTTTCCGACGGCGGCGCGGCGGCAGCGTGTTGGTTTTGGCTGCGTGGAACACATAAGTGGACGTGATTTGCCTACTAGCAGGAGGTGTGAGACTCCGGGCGACACGACGCAGCACGGAACTGAATACTAAGGAGCGTACGTGTAACGTTTTCGATTTGTGGCATGCTCCGATAACCTGCATTTAGAAATCAAGCCGGCAGCTATCCTAAAATTTATTGACTCTCTTTCGGTGTGAATTGTGCCGGCGTCGAGCGAGAATTCAAAAAACTCGATTGTTCCGGCTCGCGACAAGTGGACGTTCATTATTCCAAACGAACACGAAGCCCTATTTACTTCCACATTTTATCTGAGCTTATTATGCGCACGGCGACCGAAATGTATAAAAAATTCATAACAAAAGAAAACGTTCTCGTGTTAAACAATGAATGTTCATCTCCTCCCATATTTACGTAGATGATCCCAATTTTGAAAAAAATCTAGCAAATTTACCATGTATCAACGCAACCCTTTCTACATGATACATGAATTTGATCATAACAGGTCCCGTCATATCACGAGCAGCGTTTTAAGGAAGCCATCATGCATTCATTCCATTTAGTTTTATTGTCAAAGACCCGCGCCTATCTCGGCGGGACCCCGTAACTGGATTTTAAATAAGATTCCTTGTAGGTCTTGCGAAATTTGCCTCTCAAGATAAAGAAAGGTCGCTTGTCTGTTTCGTATTATAGAATCATTCCATGCTGGAAGTATGATATGATCCTTTTTATGGTCCTGTATCAAACGACATTCTGTTGATAGTGTACCTAAACGAGAGAGGAATGTTAAATATAAGATTCATTCTTTTCATTGGTGTCGCGGTGGCCTAATATTTGCTTTGGTGAAATTACCTGAAGCAGCGGCGGCCGGCCGCGACCTACCTGTTTGATTTTGATGCATACTTCAGTGCTCTGCGGGGGCATTCGTGGTGGATGAAAAGCTATCGCCTTTAGAACGAGCACTGACGTGTTACATAGTACATTACATTTGGAGACGGAGCTGCTCGGAAATATGTAAACATTTGTTCCAGCAATGTTCATGTTATCAAAGTTTAATTGCGGTAATAACGAAGGAACTAACAATTTAATTTGGCGACTCGCGGCGTGCTACATAAATCGTACTTGTGGATGTCAGCTGTCGGCAACTTTAGAGAATTTTCCTTGTAATGTCCTTTTCGCGTCGTTTTTCGCAGAACGTTTTAATTAATATTTCTTAAACGACTGAATATTCCTTTTATTTTGGTATTTACTTTCTGCGCAATTGTCTAAAGGATTGAAATATTATGTTGATTGTTTTTTTCTGAGAACACTTCGTGAAAATTTGCTAAAATCATGTTTAGAATAATTAATTAAATCGCTTTAGATGTTTGTTTTTTGTGGTGTGGTAACTGATGCGTAATACCTAAAAAGCTCTGCATTATCACATGGTCGATGAGTGCCTATTTCTGAACCTGAATATTTAAAAAAACCCATACAAAAATGTAATATTAGGTGTAATTTTCAGACACATCTTATCACATGAAGATAATTTTCTGGAAAATCGGTAAAATTTTGAAAACAAAAACGAGATAACTACTCCCTTTGACCTCTTTTACAAACACGTTAAACAGAACCAGTATTAAATTTAAAGACGTTAAAAGTAATCAATAATTACGATCATACATCCTTGAAAGGATATAAAAATATGAGTAAATAATTACCGCATAAATTCACTTGTATCTTCTCTGTCCAATAATCTGTAAGAGAGTATCAGTAAGGGAATCGTTACTTTATGAAATTCTAGAAAATAAACTACTCTTTCTAAAGTGTAAAATTGAAATGTATGTAGCGAATAAATTACGTGAGTACGTAAAGCTTACATGTGTCTATATGATGTACTAAAATTATATTTTGGTTATGCTAAGAAATGCAAACAGAAAATTTTTAACGCTCAAAGTCGCAGTTTAGTGTTGTTATACTTTAATACATTTTTGGACAGGACCTATCTTTAGAACGCTTTACTTTTTTGTACCCATCAGAGTCTCACAAGATAGGTTTAAATAAAATTTGAAGTGCATATAGATTTAGATACCACAGTCTGGTAAACTCACGCATAGTCAGGGGACAAATTGTTGACCCTGAAATCGCAAGAAGAATAATTGAACACGATAATTCAAATAGGTTCGACCGTCGATTATCTTTATACAGTTTTCAATTACGATTTAAGTAATAATACACAGATAATAATTACAAATCGTAAAATTGCGCTCACTCCCATGTCTTTGACACGATAAGAATAACGGTAAACTGTCGTGGTGTCATATAATCTAGATATAGAATAGTGTTGTTCGTTACCTAGGTTCTAAATCTTCCATCTCCCCAATGGTGGGATTCTCTGGCCTTAAGATATTGAGATCCCGATGTGGAGGTATGACTACCGTGTGATCCTCAGCTTTGCCCTGCAGTTGACTGAGTATAATCTTCTGCAAGTCTTCGTAGCGGTCGGTAGGGGGCGCTGGCGTTCTAGGCTCAGCATCAGTCCCCCCTCCACTTGTCTCGCCAGGCGCTGACTGCTCGTATTCTCGAGAACCATTGCTGCCGTTGCTGGTGAAGAAAAAAAAACAAATGAGTAAAATTGTTAAAAAACCACAACATAAGTTTAAAAAGACCGTTTTACGAACCATGCCCGAAGTCTGTAATATTTGGTCCGACTGTGTCTGTTGAATGAATCAAAATCGCAATCAGTGGCTATGTCTACTTAGGTATATTGTATTCACTTTAAACTTAAACTTTATCTATAGCGACACTGCTAAAGTGACCAAAAACCCAAATAATTCAAGACGACGACGTTAAATTCTAGTAACAAATTAAATCGCCAAGACACAAGAAACGTTCGGACATTCCTATCACATGAACCGTCGCATAAATTCCTTCATCTAGACAATCTCTTTTACTTTAAACTTTAACTTCAACCGCATAGGAGTTATATGGAGTAAAAAGTGATTTCGGAACTACTAACCACAAAGCGAGTTAACAGTCCTCGCCATTTACTAGAAGGCACATGATATGCAACGCTTAGTACAACTACTGCTGGTCGCAACTGTATTATGTAGCGTGAAAGCTTAGTTTCTTATTTATTCTAACCGCAGATGAAACTGTGTCGTTAAAAATAAAGTGTTGTTTAGAAATGTTGAGAAAAGTGAAATCAACTGCTTTAGGAAGATCTAGACTTGTGGGTAAAATAATGATTTGTCGTAAAATATTTCGTCTTTTTCTTATAAATGGAATTATTAATGATCAATGGAACAGTTTTATTGTAATTGATGTTATTAATAAGTTTATTTAGTTAGTAGTTATTGTTAGGACGTTCAACATTTTTTTGCGTTATACTATCTATACAAAGATTTATTCTCCCACTTGGAGCTTTATAAACCACTACATTAAAAATACGAAATAAAAATCTACTAAAATATAAACAAAAAACATAACGTAGGTAATAATTATTTTCAAGAGATTCCAATTTCATTATTAAGTACAATGATATTATTCGAACTTAAACAATGGCTTTTACTGGAACTCAATTAAATTGAAACTTACACAGAAACGAGTGCTTTTTGTAATGATGAGTATTTTGGTATCGGCTTATTGTTAGACTTATCAATTACGTTCGCAAAGGTAAATAATTGAGGAGTATTAATAATTTAAGCTGCCCATTAAACAATATTATTGCTATTATCATTGGTTTTGATTGAAGCATTCCTAAGAGCATTTAAGTATTTTGTTCTAAGCACATTTATATAGTCATTGTTGTACTAAGCTGCTTTTGTTTATACTTTTTCTGAAGGGTTTCCAACATTCAGTGATAAGATAATTTCGTTAATTGCAGTGTGTGCGATGACACACTGTGTTTTTATGGCTTCGTTTCGTTCACTTTATCGAGTGTACGTACATAACGAAATGTCATGCTTGATCGGCAGAAGTGCAATTACCAACATGACATTTCACCAGCTGTATTTTTTTAATTGAAATAAAGGACTTATTGGTAAACATAAGCTACATTTTCAGACCTATTATTAAAAAAAATATATCTTGCAATTTATATCGAGATATTTAGTAACAATAAACAGGTTATACGATACACTATGATGAGGTACTAAATATTTAAATTAGTTTTTCCCAACTTGCGATCAAGGCACAATACTACCACCCTTTCTACGATGAACAACGAGATGTTATGAAACATCTATCTCAAATACTTAAAATTGGTTCGCAGAATGAGTTGACTGGTCAACAATATAATCACGGATTGGCTGCTGTCAGCCCGTCAATACCCGCTGGGCATGCCAAGCAGTGAAGAATATATGGCGTCCGATGTTCCTGATAGGCTAGTCGGCTAGTAGGTCACTCAAACGTGACGAATTGCACACTGTCGCTGATCAAAACTGTACGCAAAACATGCATTGACTGCACTCGATAAAAGTATGGTGGATATGTTTAAATTGAACAATAGGGCTAAGACTTTAACGGTTTAAGCACAATACTAAAGCGAGCGGGAAAGGGATAAAAGTTTTTGCAAACAACTCTACATTATAAAGAATTTAATCTACTGAAACCTATTGCTCTTAATTCAACGTTTAACAACGTGATTGATCTAATCGGTCTTGTATAGTCAATGGCGCCATCTAGTCAGTGCAAAAATTATGCCTTTGAATCGTAGCTTCTTATTAACGATCATTACTTTGGTATGTTTGATCACCGGAATGGTATTGATCATCGTTTTACACTTCCGCGTAGCGGTCTACGAGTAAAATGACTACGAAGATTCCTACAGTTTCAATAAAAATGTGGCTACGGAATGTGCGTAGTAAACAGCTTTGATGGTTACGCATCTGACGCGAAACTCGCGCACGCTGCTTACTTGCGAATTGTCAATTGAACAGAGGTATGTTTAAGATTAATAATCCGAAACATGATAATAAAATCAATACAATGAAGCGATAACCTATTAACAATTAAGATTAAGTATTCTAGTAAATTTTCTCTTTTCATTAACATGTTATAATAATGTCGTAAAACTCCACGAAGAACTTCTTAACTACTTACAAAAAGTTCTTCGGAAAACTGGTACAAAATAATCACACACTCCAACCCTTTGTGGGTTAGAGTGCGGTGTATTATTTCAGTTTAATGAAAGTATTGAGGTTCGGGAGTGGTCGAAATCACTCAATATCAACTTGTAGTGTTTGCGATACCGAGCATGATTGTTTACAGATGTAATCATTTCGAACTCACCGACCGAGCACCACGCAGTTGAAATTTCAATCAATAACCGAGCGGTTACTGTGTATTTAAACTGTTATTTTTTGCATCTCTAGTGAATAGAACAGTTGATTAAAATTGGTTTATCAAGAAATTGATGTGGACCTTTTTTATTGTGATTAAATATGCGTAGGTTTAGTGTTTTTTATTTTGTTTAATTGACACTTTATTATTAATAAATATGCGTAGGTTTAGTGTTTTTTATTTTGTTTAATTGACACTTTATTATTAAACTAGCTTCTGCCAGCGGCTTTGCCCGCGATCCCAGGGGTAAAACGCCTATGTATCACTTCAGACCATAATCTACCTCTGTTCCGAATTTCATTCCGGTCCCTTCAGTCGTTTTAATATGACTGAGTAACAAACATACACATAAACTCACATATTTTCATTTATAATATCGAGTCAAGCTAATTTCAACCATTGGCCTTTCAGATCAATCAGAAATCACCGAATTGCTAAGCTATCGGAAGTTTCAAGTTTCAGTATTGTGAGTCAACCATAAAAGATAGACAGATGCTGTCAAGGAATATTTTTTATATAATTTTAAGGAGAATATTTCCGTCATACATGATTTCTATGCAGCTTTAACCTATAAGCCCGCACACGCGACGGAAGCTTAAAAAATGGAGTAACTTCTCCCGTTTTCCCAATATTTCCCTTCACTGCTCTGCTCCTATTGATCGTAGCGTAATGAAAAGTATACTATAACCTGCCCAAGAGTATGAAGAATAATTGTGCCAAATTTCGTTAAAATCCATCGAGTAGTTTTTGTTTCCATAACGAACATACAGACAGACAGACAGACAGACAAAAATTTTACTGATTGCATTTTTGGCATCAGTAGCGATCCCTAATCACCCCTTGATAGTTATTTTTTAAATATATTTTATGTACAGAATTGACCTCTCTACAGATTTATTATAAGTATAGATTATCTCATTTCTTATTGATTTAGATTTTACAATACTACACAGTTTCCACATCTATTAAGTAACATTACTGACTACACATTTAAGTATAGGATTCCGCAGACTATTAATCCCCCAAACCTCAAAATGTTGTTACATTTTTTTTACACTAGGATTTTCTTCTGTGTCGTGGGTGCGTTTACAATCATACAAGTTCACATACACATGACACCCAGACCCGGAACAATAATTTGTGGATCACACAAAGAGTTGCTCCGTGCGGAAATCAAACCCACGACACATTGCGCGGCAGCCGGTTGCCCAACCACTGCACCAACCGTGTTGTCAATTGTTTTTTAAGTCGGCATTCAATAAGGACTCGCATTTCAATGATATGTTTCATTGACTGAATACTACTTTCAGTTACAGTTAACAAAAAACTACTTCGTATTGTTGTTTTAATACTACTCTGATACTAACAAAACTTAACATTAAAATTTTTGGTGACCAATCAAGTCGATCAGACCAACGTAATTTAAATCGATCGATGGCCGCCCAAATTATGTGTGTAGAATAACAGACTTGTAATTACATAATATAATTAGTCTTAAATTGAAACCAATACATTATATATAATTAGCAACTATTTCATAACCTTCACTAGGGCTCGATGCTTGTACCTGACTTTATTAACCTTCGACTTCTTGGTAAAATGATAACTTATATCTATTATGAAGACAGAATTGAATAATTAAAGTTGCCTGTTTAGAAGCTAACATAGAATTGAAAATAAATTAATACATCTAAATGAGTGTTGAAGTTTTAAACAGGACATTTCGTAACTTAACCGAAGAATTACTATGGAATACCTAAGTGCTTCATAGAAACTTGAGGTACTCAAAAGTTTCAATGAGGTGTAGGTATAGGGATTATCCTACAGCTGTTTTTACTATATGGAACTTTAAAAAAAATTAAATACATATGTATGATACCAACTGTTTGATATTGGCGAGTTACTTATATAAATTATTTGAATTGTGCTAATTACGCCCTTTCATTTGATACCAAACGCGATGTAATAAATCTTTTTATTTTGTTCATGATTTTTTGGCCTCAAGAAGGCGACATTGGCAGTTTTAAAGCCTATTACCAGCGAACTAATAAGACACTTCTAATGATACTCTATTAATCAAATTATGGCCAGTACTTTAGGAGTTAGGAGGGAAAAGATGAACCAGTCAAAATTGCACCCCTCCTTTTTTGCCATATTCGGGTAAAAACCAAGATAGACTCGTATTATTATCTGACCACGAAGCAAAATCTTCGAAGTAAATAATAATTAGGTATTTGTAAGACTATAAATCACTTGTGCAA